TCTCCATCCTTGGAGATACTCAAAACTCACCCAAGACAAGGCCCTGAGCAACCTGACCTACGTTGCATCCAGTCTTGCTTGGAGCACATGGTTGCAATAAAAACTGGAGAAGCCCCTTCCTGCCTAGAAGTTCCTGAGATTGTACATGCCAGGAACGGTTGGGATTGCTGTCCAACACTTTCTTCAGTGCCTAAGTAGCGTGGCTGAAGCAATCACCATGGAAAGAGTCTTGAGGAGGTAAAGCCCTTTAAATATACCATGGAAGGCTGATAAATAGAGTTTTATTCTGCCCAAGGGACAGCAGGGAAAAGGGACTGCTTTTTAACAGGGAGGCCAAAGTTTGAAGAAAGGAGGGACAATTGAACAGAACACTGCAAACTTGGGGCTGGCAGCAGAAGCAGGAGAGAAGCAGCAGCGTTCATGCTAGCATTGTGTGGGCAGAATCATCACCAGCCCAGCTTCGTCGCCAGGCCCTGCTGCATGCCCAGCTCAGCAGGTTTGGTTACTGGGAAGTACCAGAGCAGCCAGGGAAGTTTGGAGCCCCCAGGAATGGGATGCCACATCTCAAGTGCAAATGGTTGCCAATCCCTGTGCCCACAACATAAGCTCCTGGGAAAGCTGCTCTTTGGACAAGTCTGTGGGATCTACAGATGTAAGTAAGAGCAGGGAAAATGAGCGAGTTTATCAGAAAGGTCATGAGGAAGCAGAACCTGGAAGACCCTGAAAAAGGACACCAAGGCCCCGGGACAAGCATGCAAGCTCAATGTGTCTGTGTAGGAGAGGTGTGTATCTCCAGGCTCTGCCTATAGCTCATGTGAAAAAACAGCCCAGGTGACTTCTGAGCTGAGGAGCTTGATTTGATGCTCCTCGTGTCCCTTCTTAGAGACCTGGACCCCGGAGGAAAAAACGTAATATTCCAGCAAGGTGAGGAACAGGTCTCCCCACTTTCAGCAGGTCACATCATACCTAGAAAGTCATTAGCTGAAATCCTGTCGTAATCCCAGACCTGGAGGACCAGAACAGCTGGTTCCCGAAACTCTGATTCCTCCACAGAGAAGACAGAGTCCTTCTTCTTGTAGGTGATCTCCTTCTCCGTCGGGAGATAGTTGAAGCGGAAGATGAACCTCCAGTTGAAATTGCCCTCCCCAGTCAAGGAGTTAAAGTGAACATCTGTCTCCTGCTTGTCATGGTCAAGACCCTTTATCCAGCTGCAGGAGAAACTCAGTTATCTCCTACCCTCTGTCAGCCAGCCCCAAAGACAGAGCAGAAGGGTGGAGGGGCTGAACCCCACGGAGTAGCAGGAGAGGAAGAGTCAAAGAGCCAAATGAGACCAACATCTTTGGGGGTACAGCAGCCCAAGCAGGGGGCTGAAGTGGGGCACCTCACACTGAGGCAGGGAAGAGCAGAGTTCCAGAGGAGGCAGTGAGGGTGTGGGGCAGGGCTCTGGCCTCCCTCTGGTTCCCATCAGACCTTTTCACATAGATGTCGCTGGAAGGCTCTCCCGTTACTGGGTTGACATCATCAAGGATCACGTCATCCGTGTTCCAGATAATCACACGCAGCTCGTAGCTGTGGGAAGGACACAGGAGTGCATGAGACACGTGCTCTTGTCCCCAGCACGTGGGAGGGCAGGTCAAGCCCACGCCGGCAGAGCAGCAGGACTCACGCACTCCTACCGCTGTAGTCCCCTGCCATGGCTCCTCTGGCCAAGCACAGCCCAGCAGTCCCGCTGACATGCACAAAGCCCTTCCTGGGGGGCTACAGCCCCACAAGACAAACACCCACAGTCAAAACAGGCAGCTTTCGCAAAGCGAATCCCTGGTGCGTAGGATATTCACCCAGCACCACTTAACCATAGGAGCACAGAAAGGTTTAGACAGGAAGAGACCTCTGCAGTCTCTGCTCCAACCTCTTGCTCCAACTTCATAGTAGATCAGGTTTTTCAAGGCCTTGTCTGCTTGAATTCTGAATATCTCCAAGGATGGATATCCCAGCACCTCTCTGAGTCACTCCATCCCTATCACAAGGTGGCTTCACTCTCATTGGGAAATTTTTTTCCTACATCCCTCGGAGTTCGAGTTTCCCTTGCCACAATCTGTGTCCACTATCTCTTGTCCTTTCATGTGCACCTCTAAGAAGAACGTGGACCCTCCATCTCAATAGCCCCATTAGATCACTGAAAACAGCACATCTCCTTCAACTTCACTTCTCCAGGCACCCAGAGGACATCTGTCTGCTAGCCAAAATAGAGCTAGATGAATAGCTCTAACCTTGGTTTCTATCAATCACCTCCATACAGCCCTACAGAGGTTAACCCTGTCCTTCACAAACACTTGTGCAGCTGAAGCGCTTATGCTCCATGCTGATACACCCAAGAGACCATCCCATGGCCAGAGCCAAAGCAAAGAGGAGGGCTGCATGTCAGGCCAGCGCAGACCGTCAGCCTGTGCAGGACTCAGTGGCACATCCCACCAGGCATGGCCAGGGACAGTGACCCTTCACGCCGGCTCACCAGCCCAAGCCCCGGTCCCATGGGTGCTACCTGACAGGCAGTCGTGGCTTGATATTGACAGGTGGTGGTGCGGGGACGTCGTTTGGAAACATGTCAATCCACATGTGCAAGGAGCCCTGATGAGAGAAGACAGCAGAGAGTCTTCAAAAGACAGACCACCCTCCAGCTCTTCAAGGAGCAAGGGCTTGGTCCTGCAAGGAAAGCTCTTGCCAGAAAGTCACTACTTGGCTCTCTCTAACCCCAGCACTCGAGAGTGATGTGTGACTGAGTTTTATACAGGGAAAACATTAAAACAAATTGCACATTTCCCTCCTCACTCTGCTCCCAAGAAAAACCATTTCAGCTGAACTGAGTTAGTTTCAAATGGAAGCAAACGTGTCCTTCTGTCTTAGCAATGATGCAACACTTCAGCATAACCAAGAAAACTAAAAAGTGATGGGTCCAATCTTCTCCTCCCCACATTTGTTTCCAATGCCGACCAAAGCCAGAGTGACTGCCAAGGTCTGCTCTGTTACAGACCTCCAGTACCCAAGGGAACAGGAGATGTTCAGTGCAGAACGTGGGAATGGCTGAGCTCAGATCACTGCACTGCATAAAACTGAGGAGGAATGTTTCTCCTCCAGCCAGTCGTCTGCCCCAGAGAGAAGCCAAGGGAGCAGAACGGGGCTCTTGCAGGGAGCAAAGCAGCAGTGATAGGGGACAAAGCAGAGGAAGAGGCAGGGATAGGCAAGGACACTACCACCTGCCATGGTCCATGGTGGCAGGGCTCAGGAGACAGAGCAGGACCCCACACAGCATCCTCATCAGAGCAGCGCTACGTGGCCTGAGGAGACAGGAAGGACAATGGGCCACCAGCATTGTGACCACAACGTCAATGGACAGAAGTTCCTTGAGGAAAGGGTGTTCAGAAGCACCACAAGAGGTCTGGGTGGATCTGTGCAAAGGACACCCAAGGGCAAGAGTCCTCACTTTGTAGCAGAGCCAGTCATCCACAGACGCAGCTCCAGGCACCCACCCAGAGAGGGGCAACGCATATGCGATGAGGAGACAAAAAGACAACAGGGGATCAGCCAGGGGACTGGGAACCAGCTGGCCCAAAGGTCCTTCTGCAGAGCAATGTCTAGGCTGGACAAGGAAACACATCTCACCTGCACAAGGCCGGGGTTCTCTGGGTTGTACAGGGACCGGATCTCCACATGCTCTGGTACCAGCCTGTACCCATATCCTGGCATCTCTTCCCAGTGCTGCAGGACGTACAAAGCCTTATGTTCATCGTCCACTGGCCAGTTCTCATCCACCACTCCTCTCTTGTTCCTCACAGAGGCCTCTGCAGCAGGACATAACCAGGCAGAAGATGAAGGCATCTGACCAGCAAGAGCCACGTCAGGGCAGCAGTCACAGGTACAAGTAAGGGAAGATGATGGGCTGGGCAAACAAGCGCTCCCCAGAAAAACAAAATGGGGAGAAGCAGGAGGGTGAGGATGAAGGGAATGAGTACAGTACGTTGCAGTGATGAGGAAAACTGTAGGCAGTCAGACAAACAAGCTCAGAGAAATAAGAGGAAAAGGGCCAAAAATAGTTTACTATGGCCCTGCGGAAAGGATTCAGGGGACACCAAAGCAGGCATGACCCTCTGGGGAAGTCAAGTCCCCATGTCTCCATGGCAGTGCAAACAGATCCATGGGTGAGAGGTTTTGCCCTAGAAATGCTCCAGGAAAGCACAACTTGTCACCTGGCAGTGACACACAGCTGTGCTCTCTGTTAATTAATGATCTGTGTGATTAATTGCCTCATTTGGCACAGTGAAGCCAAGTGGCAGTTCAAGACCAAATCCTGCTGGTGGAGAGAAAAGCAGGAACCAGCAGGTGAGGACATGATGACCCATCCACCCCTGGGTTTATGGAGAGCATCTGCCCTTTGGAGATCAGTCTGAGACCAAAACCGTCACCAACTGCAGCCACATTTGAACCACAGCCAGCTCTCAGGGGAACACCAGGAGAGCACCTCGTTTCTCCCTTCCCAGCTACTCAGTGAACTGAGAAAAGGCGAAAGAGCTTTTGGAAGCTCTTGGCCCTCTCCTGAGCAGGATTTCTTTCCCCTTCATGACATAACACATAAAGCCCAGCGGAAAGCTGAGGAACTGCAGCACTGAAACAAGCAGAAGGAAAAGTTGGCCATGCACATAGGTGTCGCCTCTCTGGGCAGGTCAGGCACAGGAATCATCCTTCCTACAGGCTACACAGCATTGCCTTGCAGGACCCAGCCATCCACAAGCCAGCCACATCTGCTCCATCCTTTCCTCCAGGCTGGATTCAGTTGCACAGCGGTTGGCCACTGGAGGGAATGTCCACAGCAGGGACAGGCCTGTGCTCAGGGAAGTTCTCCATCAGTGCTGGCAGAGGTGGAAGGCTGCTGTGTTCTTGGACATCCCTGGCCCTGGCTCGGGGTTTGTAATGCCATTGAGGAGGAAAGAAAAACAGCAAAGGAGAAGCAGACGCTGCCCACAAGGAGGAAATCAACAGCAGTGAGGAGCAGTGGGGAGTCACCCAAGGCACTCAAAGCCACCAGAAGCAGAGAGCATCCCTGAAGGACAAAGCCAGCTAAAAACAGGAAAGGAGACTGAAAAAGCCCTTCAAAACAAACAAAAAATAAAAGGACATCAATATCTTGCTGATGGTGGTCACAAGCAGGTGGAGGTACAGCTTTGTGCCCGTGTCAGCCACCAGAATAAGCTGTGCCTTCTCTGGCATAGTGTCCTCAAATCCCTGTGCGCATCGCTGCCGTGCAAGAGTGGGTCCCCCTGGAAAGCCACTTTGGGACCTAATGGCCTGGATCACATCTTCTCCCAGTGCAACACCATCATGCCCTGGAGCCAGGCCACAGAGCACCAAGGATGCTCCCCATGGTGCGCCAGGAAGCTGGGCCACGCAGGGCACAGGGCGGGTGCTGCCAGCCTGGGCACTTCAGGCCAGAGGGGTTGGTGGGTTCCCAGACCTCTCAGCAGCACGTGCACTGCTGAGCACAGGCAGCTATCTAAGGGAGCAGTCATTGTTCTCCAAGCCCTCTATACCTTCAGGAAAAGCCTCCGGAGGGATCTTGAATATTTTATTGTCCACTTTGACCTCCTCCCGTCTGTACTCTGCTGCAGGGAGCGAGTTTTTCTTGCATAAACTATCCAAGATCTGTGTGGGTTTGAAAGCGTCTCGCCACATGTTGTAGCTGTTTCTGCAAGGAAGGGAGAACATCAAGAACATCTTCAGCTTAGACACACGAGGTTTGGTTCCTAGGCTGCGAAATGCCCTGTCTTCGCTATAGCACAGGCTGTGCCACCAGATCCCTGCTCAGATTTTCACTGGGAAAACCATAGACACACAAAAGCTTAACGAATGAAAAGCTTAACGAGCTCTCCTCCTCCAGAACAAGCCAGGCTTGCACCCCACAGAATCATTAGCCCCAGAGCAGCAACAGGAGCAATTCCAACTGCAGCTCGTATGCGGGAGAGAGGTTTTAGCAGCACTGGGGACTCAACTCCATGCCCTCTGCTAATTCTCCAATAGCAAGGTAGGAGAAGAGAAACTGGCCAAAGACACCAGAGAATCCATACGAACGAGGCCAAAGGAAAACAGATGTCCTGAGTCTTGCCGCTCACAGAATTAGCTACTGCCAGAGAAACTGCCCTACTTTCTGAAAGAGGTCAAAATCACATCAATGTCAAATGAGCGCTTTTCCCACAGAACACCAATCTGAAAGCATTTGAGAATTTTTTGCTACTTATATGCAAAATGTATTAGTTCCGCAGTAGGAATTAGAGTTATCACAGGAAGCTGGTAGGAGTCTAAAGGAGATGGAGGTATCTGTGTAACTTCGAGTGAATCTGTGGGGCACCTGCTCAAAAGACACTGTGGATGCAACCTCCATCCTGCAAAACTGGAGGTGCTCCGTTACCCACCCAAACGGTATGCGAGAACAATGCGTCTCATGGCCCTAATGTGTCACACCAGTACCTACATGTCGTACTGAGAAGCCACTCCACAGTTGGCCCTGTGCTTGCTATAGAATCGATTCTCCAAGTCAATCTTGGTCTCTCCAATCAGATCATCAGATCCAACCAAATCATGGTCGAATACTGCCACAGTGAGTTCTGATTCCACAGGAAAGGAGACGGTCAGCTCCACAACTCTGTACAGAAGCAGACGGGGAGAGTGCAATTAGCAAAGAGAATGGAAAAGAAACACATAGAATCACAGAATCATAGAATGATAGAACGGTTTGGGTTGGAAGGGACCTCAAAGATCATCTAGTTCCAACCCCCCTGCCGTGGGCAGGGACACCTTCCACTACACCAGGTTGTTCAAAGCCCCATCCAACCTGGCCTTGAACACTTCCAGGGATGGGGTAGCCACAACTTCTCTGGGCAACCTGTGCCAGTGCCTCAGCACCCTCAATGCAAATAATTTCTTCCTTAGATCTCATCGAAATCTCCCCTCTTTCAGTTTAAAGCCACTGACCCCTTGTCCTGTCACTACACGCCCTTGTCCAAAGCCCCTCTCCAGCTTTCCTGTAGCCCCTTCAGGTACTGGAAGCCTGCTAGAAGGTCTCCCTGGAGCCTTCTCTTCTCCAGGCTGAACAGCCCCAACTCTCTCAGCCTGTCTCCATAGCAGCTGTGCTCCAGCCCTCAGATCATCTTCGTGGCCTCCTCTGGACTCGCTCCAGTAGCTCCATGTCTTTCTTGTGTTGGGGACTCCAGCTGTTGAGGTGCATCCGCAGGTCCTGAGGGAACTGGCGGATGAAGTTGCTAAGCCACTATCCATCATATTTCAGAAGTCGTGGCAATCTGGTGAAGTTCGCACTCATTGGAAAAGGGGAAACACAGCCCCCATCTTTAAAAAGGGGAAAAAAGAAGACCCAGGGAACTACAGGCCTGTCAGTCTCACCTCCGTGCCTGGCAAGATCATGGAGCAGATCGTCCTAGTGACTATGCTAAGGCACATGGAAAATAAGGAGGTGATTGGTGACAGCCAACATGGCTTCACTAAGGGCAAATCCTGCCTGACTGATTTGGTGGCCTTCTATGATGAGGTCGTAAAAAGGGGAAAAAAGAAGACCCAGGGAACTACAGGCCTGTCAGTCTCACCTCCGTGCCTGGCAAGATCATGGAGCAGATCGTCCTAGTGACTATGCTAAGGCACATGGAAAATAAGGAGGTGATTGGTGACAGCCAACATGGCTTCACTAAGGGCAAATCCTGCCTGACTGATTTGGTGGCCTTCTATGATGAGGTCGTATGTCTTTGATGGATAGGGGAAGAGCAACTGACATCGTCTACCTGGACTTATCCAAAGCATTTGATACTGTCCCACACGACATCCTTGTCTCTAAACTGGAAAGACGTGGTTTTGATGGATGGGCCACTCGGTGGATAAGAATTGGATGGATGGTCCTGCTCAAAGAGTTGTGGTCAATTGTTCAATGTCCAAGTGGAGGCCAGTGACGAGTGGTGTTCCTCAGGGGTCAGTACTGGGACCAGTGCGATTTAACACCTTTGTTGGAGACATGGGCTCTGGGATCAAGTGCACCCTCAGCAAGTTTGCAGATGACACCAAGTTGTGTGGTGTGGTGGACACGGTGGAGGGAAGGGATGCCATCCAGAGGGATCTTGACCGGCTGGGGGGGGG